CTGGACGCGCTGCCCCGCCCCCGGGCGCCCGGCGCGTGAGTGGCCCCCACCTCCCGGGCGCCCGGCGCGTGAGTGGCCCCACCTCCCGGGCGCCCGGGAGCCTCTGAAGGTTGGGGACCACTGGTCTAGATCATCTACAACCCCCATAGACAATTTATTCCAATGTTTAACCACCCTGACAGTTAGGAAGTTTTTCTTCATGTCCAACATAAACCTCCCTTGCTCCATTTTCTAAACTTAACAAGCCCAATTCTTTCAGTCTTTCCTCATAGGTCATGTTCTCTAGACCTTTAACTACTTTTGTTGCTCTTCTCTGGACCTTCTCCAATTTCTCCACATCTTTCTTGAAATGTGATGTCTAGAACTGGATGCAATACTCCAACTGAGGCTTAATCAGCACAGAGTAGAGCGGAAGGATTTCTCGTGTCTTCCTCAACACCACTGTTAATGCATCCCAAAATCATGATCGCTTTTTTTGAACAGTGACACACTGTTGACTTGTTTAACTTGTTGTCCAATATGATCCCTAAATCCCTTTCTGCAGTGCTCCTTCCTAGACAATCACATCCCATTCTGTGAGACACAGATTGTTCCTTCCTAAGTGGAGCACTTTGCATTTGTCCTTATTGAACTTCATCCTATTTACCTCAGACCATTTCTCCAACTTGTCCATATCATTTTGATTTATGACCCTGTCCTCCAAAGCAATTGCAATCCCTCCCAGCTTGGTGGTATCTGCAAACTTAATAAGAGTACTTTCTATGCCAATATCTAAATCGTTGATCCCCTGATCTGTTTTGCTTCTATGCACCAATCCCTTCCTCAACTTTTTTTATTTACTACTTTATGTTAGATTGTAAAGCTTTTGTGCCAAGGGCTGCATCTTCCTTTTTGTCTGTACAGTTTCCTGCACATTTTGGCCCCTTTGTAATTATACAGAACAGCTACTCTATGTTTGCACATTTAGTTATGCATTTCTGAGGCCGAATCCCGAGGAATTTATGAAAAAATTGTGCAGATTTCAGGTCCTTTCCTGATACCAGTGCAAGAAAAAAATAACTTTCACAATAAAAATCAAAAAAGAATTTGGTTAGCTGAAGAAAAATATCCAACAAAAATTTTTTTTTTTCATTCAAACTAAAGAAAATCTTTAGTAAAATGAATGTGCTTCAGGAGCAGTTACTAAAGTCACTCAGATCACTTGCTAAAAGTACTTCCTCATCACAGAAAGGACATACAAGACTGACTCACCTCTCTTCAGCCTTCACACTCAGATCCAAACTTTGTCCCTAGAAAAATACAATAAACCGCTGAACCAATGGTCGTTTCACAAGTGCACCTACTAACAGGGCATGGAAAACACTGTTATCAAATACTATGCAAGATAAGAACTTTCACCAGCAAAAGCAAACAACACACACCTTATTTTTTCCAGTGCCTCTTTTAGTGCAAATCAATTATTCTTAAGAGCTGTTACATTGGAGTAATATAAAGTTGGAGGACAGAAAAGAGTACAGATATTATTCTTTTTGTAAGCTTTTGGTTTTTCCTCCATTAGCACCTCTCTTTCACAGGCTATATAATTTTTCCTTTGCTTCTGCAAATTGATGGAAAATGATGCTTATTTTGCAGAAATCAGCCCTAAAAATAGTACTTCAGAGTGACTGTTAAACAGCCTCTAGTAGTCTATGACATCATTTTAGTAAATAATTTCGAGTGTTACATTTAATAATTATTGTAAAACATGGTAATTCTCAAGAGCTGAATTAAGTTACAGCAACACTGGCTTTTAGTCTCAAATTTTAAAAATGCTTACTTCTAAATGCTGAAACCTTTGTTCCAAGTATTAAAATACATGCCAAAAATTAGTGAGTTACCTCTCCTAGAGGAACAGTCATGTCTACTTTCTGTCCACCAGGCAGTGATTTAACTGGTACAGTCCCCCGTCCCAGAAGTATGCTGTGTTTTTCCATGTCAGAGTTTATTTCATCCTAGTAACAAAAAGGAATAATCCAAGCGTTACAGAAAAGTGGTTTTCATTAAAATCATAATTTCACCTGTGAAAATAAAGAACCAGAACTCTCACAAAGTGGAGTTATTCACATGCTGCAACTCACAACTAAAATTCTTCAGAAGAAAGTCTTATGACATCATGTACTTTTGACCATCTTATCTGCTCTCTGTCCACCAAGACTTCTTTCTTGGGACTATTCCCATAATTCCAAACCTCTAAGTAACTTCAAAAATTTAACTGTGCTCTTTTCCGAATCAACCTGCCACAAAATCCTTCTCTCTCACACACATACATGCATTCAAATGGGGATTTTTCCCTCCAAAAGAGTTGCCCTGACCTGTGGCCAGTAATGAGTAATATAAAGTGCTGCATTCCTACTAGGTTTTAAATCCATATTATTCTAGCCCTTTAAAGAGTCGTTATTAACAGTTCACAATCGTGCTGGAAGGGTATAACAAGTGGGGTTCCTCAAGGGTCTGTTTTGGGACCAGTTCTGTTCAATATCTTCTTCAACGATTTAGATATTGGCGTAGAGAGTATGCTTATTAAGTCTGCAGATAATACAAAGCTGGGAGGGATTGCAACTGCTTTGGAGGATAGGGTCATAATTCAAAAATATCTGGACAAACTGGAGAAATGGTCCAAGGTAAATAGGATGAAGTTCAATAATGACAAATGCAAAGTGCTCCACTTAGGAAGGAACAATCTGTGTGTCACACACAGAATGGGAAGTGACTGTCTAGGAAAGAGTACCGCAGAAAGGAATCTAGGGGTCATAGTGGACCACAAGCTAAATATGAGTCAACAGTGTAACGCTGTTACAAAAAAGGAAACATGATTCTGGGATGCATTACCAGGGGTGCCGTGAGCAAGACACGAAAAGTCATTCTTACTCAGCTACCCCTCTGATGCTTCCCATTAGTTCAGCCAAATATTTGATAGGGTAAATTTCTGTCAGGTGTGATTTCCAAAGCACCATCTGTGCTATCTGTAGAGGATGGGGTTTTTTCCAATGCCCAACTACAGAGACTGGGCTCTTAGCTCAAGCTGGAGCAAATGGGGCTTTCAGGTCTGAGAGGGGACATTATAGCGGTTTTCCGGTATCTAAAAGGGCGTCACAAGGAGAAGGGAGAAAAATTGTTTTCTTTGGCTTCTGAGGATAGGATAAGAAGCAACGGGCTTAAATTGCAACAAGGGAGGTTTAGGTTGGACATAAAGAAAAACTTCCTGTCAGGGTGGTTAAACACTGGAATAAGTTGCTTGGGGAGGTTTTAGAATCTCCATCTTTGGCGATATTTAAGAGCAGGTTAGATAAATATCTATCAGGGATGGTCTAGACCAGTGTTTCTCAACCTTTTGCTTCTGTGCTTTCAGCACACCCACCACTACACCTGGAACACGCTGCTCCAGCTCACCCCATTCCCAGGACTCAGTTTATAGCTCCAGAAGGTATCACTCAGGCCTGCCTTTCCCATAGCATCTAGTACAGTGTTTCTCAACCTTTTTCTATAAAGTACCCCTTTTTCAAAAAAAAATTATAAGTACCCCCTTTTAAAATATATAAAATAAAGTACCCCCAGTACCTAAAGTTTTCAGACACACCAATTTTTTTTCTACCATTGCAACACATTTGTTTAAACAACTTAATCATAGCCAAGCAGGAGATGAAATTTTTGGGTGTAAAAAGTACAGAAATAATAAAGAGCTGTAAAACTTAAACCAAAAATTCAGTTTTCTCCAAATTTCAGTTGTGTTGACGTACCCCCCAGACTTCTCTCGCGTATCCCTAAGGGTACTTGTACCACTGGTTGAGAAACACTGGTGTAGATATATAGTTGCTCACTGATGCTGAATGGATCGCTTTAATGTTGGCTGAATTTCAACACTAAATGAAGTGATCCATGACGTTGATATCAGGCTCTAGAACTATAGCATTGTGTCTAGAAAAGCTATTTTAGTTCTTTTTAGAAGGCTCATTTTCACATCAACCAGTAAAACAAAGATCCTTGAATCCATACAGGGTTTGATTCATGAGAACTGAGACACCTTGTTTTGCAAGGGAGAGACAAAAAAACCCCAATCCCGATAGAAAAATATTTGTCTTTAAAAACTGTAAAATAGCTTTCCTGTAGCACGTATCTCACACACACACACACACACACACACACACACACACCACATGACCACAAAGTGTACAGATTTGTTCTGCATTTAGGTGCATAACTAAATTCATGTTGATAACACCTTTCTTCTATACTACACCAGTATATGGGGGATGGGAGTGCACCTGCACCCATACAATAACAAGAACTTCATTAAGTTTAGACATTCAAGTACTTAAGTTAAGAAATGCCAGGACTGAAGTGGCCAATACAACTTCAATTCAGCCCCCTCCTGCATGGGACACAGTCTTTAATAATTACACAATCACATTAGGGATGTGAAAAGTTAACCAGTTAATCAATAAGCACCACCATAATGGATGATGCTTACCATTTCTGGTTAACTGGTGGGAGCTGGAGCACCTCCCCACCTGCTGCAGGCAAGGGGCTGCGCAAGCCTCCTGGAGCAGTCCCTGTCCTTGGCAGGCCTGGGCACATCACAGGCAGGGGGCTGCTCTGGCCACCCATAGCACTCCAGTCCAAGGCGGGCATGGGGGGAAGGCTGCACCAGCAGGGATGGAGCAATCCTTGCCTGCAGCTGGAGAGTGGGAGGGTGGACCTCCAGCCTGGCTGCAGTGGAGGGGCCACTTCAGACTGCCCACCCTTTCTTTTAATCAGTTAACCAGCTAAGCATCATATTTGACCAGCTAACTGATTCAACAGGATTTTACATCCCTAAATCACATGCTATTTTTTCCCCATTCTACCTCTGTCTTATTAAGTCCTGCTCTTTTCTTGACCCATTCCAGGTCCAGTTTCGTCAGATTCCTTGTTCCAATCTACTGCTCTTCCAACTCCCCCTACTCCAACTTTTGTTCCCTCTCCATTCTAATCAGATCACTTCCTCCCCCACAGTGCTGAGTGCCAGCAGAGAAGGAGTCACTGAAAGGATAAGGGAGAAAGACTCCCTTGCTCTCAATTTCAGCACCCAGACTCACTGAAAGCAGCCATTACCCACATCCATTTCTGCCCCTGAAGTCCTGTGCTGGAGGGAGAATGCTTAATCACACTATGCAGATGATGCATATGCACTCTCATCAGCACTAGCAGCTGTGAAAGGCTCAAGAATGCTCAGTGAGGATGCTATCTCTGGAGATTTTAGTTGTTTAATATAAAAAAAAGTCTTGGAGTATGTGCAAACTGTGATTATTCAAAAGCCTATAACGTGGCCAAATTTAGGCGGAGTTTCACAGGGATGGCAAAAGGCACATCCTGACACAAAGACAACCCACCGTCTAAAGCACTAGCAGCTGTGAAAGGCTCAAGAATGCTCAGTGAGGATGCTATCTCTGGAGATTTTAGTTGTTTAATATAAAAAAAAGTCTTGGAGTATGTGCAAACTGTGATTATTCAAAAGCCTATAACGTGGCCAAATTTAGGCGGAGTTTCACAGGGATGGCAAAAGGCACATCCTGACACAAAGACAACCCACCGTCTAATATAATGGCTGGTAAAAGAACATGTCCGCAGAATTTTTTCAACATTATCAAAAGAACATATTTTTCCCTTACCTTGTTCTCAGAAACAGCTGAAAATGCTTTCTCTGAAATGTTCTATTTAGCCTAAGGCTGATACCCAGCATGGAAAATTTCAGACTGAATAGTTAAAGTCTGACAAAGTTATAGGCAACCAAAAACAGGATATTATAATGCCCTGGAGTCCAACACACGATCCACTAGCAACGTGTGGCTACTAGCTAGTTGAGTGTGGCTAGTTAGCTTGAACCATGCGGCTGATTGAGTGTGGCTAGTACACTAGTCACTATAATGGCTACTGCTTCAGAACTGGTTGGACACCACGGTTATAATGGGAACAGTCCATGAAACTTCATAATAGGCAGCACTACCAGCCCCATCTGTAGTTTCCAGTACTCCATAAGAAAATGAATTACAATATCAGTATATATTCAACCATTAAACAACGGCAAACCAGGAATTGGTTTCCTCTAATCACTGAAGAAATCCCTGGCATGATGAACATAAGCAGAAGTCAGCGCAAATTCTTCCTCAGTCATGGAGTATGTGATGCCTTGCTTCAGGATGGATTTGTTCCAAAAGTAGTCTATGCAGATGTCAACATAGATGCTCACCTGTAAGACAGTTATTGTTTTCTCCAGCTCCACCTCCAGGTCTGGACACATTTCTTTGTCTATATGAAAGACAAAAGGGGTCCCAAAATCTTGATCACTGTCCATCTGCAGGGGGATGCACAACTGTTTCTCATAGGCCCCTGGCATTGATAGCTTCACCTGACAGTTCCCTGAGAATAGAAATAAGAGATTTTAGGTCACAACAGTCACTGAAATAACATTCTCTAGTTTTGAATGTGTATTAGAAACAACAGGCAACAGACACAAAAACTAAAGCCCCCATAGTTTTGGTTCTGATAGCACTTTATGGAAAGACACAATAACATGCCATTTTTTAAATTTAATAACAGAACAATGATAAAGCAACTTCTTGAAAGAAACTAGTAGACCACAATGAGATACAGAGCCAATGAAGCAAAACTCCTTAGAATTGGATGGCAAGAGACAAAATTCAGGTGAGGATCCAAACTACCTCCAAAGAAGATGGATGTGCCAAAGAGCCAGCAATAAAAGCAGTAGTTCTTTGAAATTCACAAGTAGTCCTACCCTTTTCACTCTGCTTTGACTTTTCATCTTTGTTGATTACACCTTGAAGAGACAGGCAAGGATGAGCCTATTTGAAAAACAAATCACACCTCTGGTTATAAGCTTGCTTCATTTCTCCATAATCCAGTGACAATAGGAAGTGGTTATGAACATTGATTCTGTAGCAAAAACAAGGCTTGGGGGACAGATTTGTTCCTGCAAATGGAGAGGGTTTAGGTTTAAGGGTGTTGTTGTTTATAAACACTTCCCTACATCGTAGCTTCTTCACAACCTATCCTACGCAGCCATAGTCTGTCCGGATACACAGACTTTTTTCTATGTTTGGTATCATTTGTATTTAGATCCAAAGCAGAATGGAACTCAAATACAAGCTGAGCAAGAACCCAGCTTTGGATACAGCAAAAGGGTAAAATAGCTTGCCATGCATCCCACAACTCATAGCAACTCCACCATTTCTGCCTATGCAAATACCTATCACATTGCAATCTCAAAACCCAGCTGTCAAGTCATCACGTGAAGAGAAAGGAGTGTTTCCTGCTCAATTCAGTCCTTGGCTTCTCTGATGAGACTGTGGACAAGGGACTTAACTAATGTTAACTGTGCTCACTGATTTTATTAAAACATGAATATTCCTCCCTTCCCAACTTTACTGGTCCCTACAGAGAGGGCAAATGGCTATCTTCAAACTGGAGGGGTGTTTTCCACTCTACCTCTACTTGAATTTGTATGCTAGGAATAGCAACATAGGCAGGATAGCACCGGTTGCCCAGACCACTTTGGGACAGATTCAGCTGGCTAGCCCAAGCAACCACTCCTGTTATCTGGGATACACTGCTATTTTTGACATGCTATCTTGAGCACAGTGAGTGCAAGTACATTTATGTGAACTGGAAATCATACTTCCCAGCTCACATGTAGAAGTACTGTAAGATACTGCACTAAGCAGTTGCTTCAGTGGAAGACTGACAAGATGGGAGGTGGAGGTCCATTTTATGAAGCAACCCATAAAATGAAAAGATTTCAAAAGGACTGCACTAGGAAATTAATTGACTCTCCCACCCCAACAATTTCACATACAGATGATTAGGCAGCCTCAATGGTTATTTTCAAACATGATTTACCTAGGCTGAATTAGAGTCAGTGATCTAACAGCAAACTGCTCCATTTTAACCACATATTAAGTAGTGCAAATGATGGAAATTTCAATTTTGGGAAGGATAGAGATTTCTGAATTTGGCTTCATTCTAACTCAGAACAAAACCCAAACATTTCACAATTCTCCATGAAAGAAAGTTCTTAAAATATTTCATTTCTGATTCAGCAAAACTTTCCTTCCCCCCACATCCTGACACTTCATTTTTCCTTCAAGAAGAAATTTCAGTGTAATCACCATGATTTCACAAAGCATTCCGTTCCAATGACACTTCATTTGCCAACAGAAAATGCTTCAGTCTAACTTTTTGAATCAGCTCTACTCCATATTCTTCTATCATATTAATTTCCTTAGTTAACTAGCCCTTTCTTCCCATCCCCCATTTGTGACAGGGATTCTTCCATTTTCATACTCTCATTTTGCTCTGAATGCTTACAGGCTATGTCTACACAGCAGCGTTATTTCAGAATAACTGATGTTCTTCTGAAATAACATAGTCTGCGTCCATACAACAAGCAGGTAATTTTGACATAATGCCGAGCTGGAGGACTGCTTACTCCAACTCCTGGAACCCTCATTGTATGAGGAGTAAAGGAAGTCAGAGGACAACTGCTCTTTCTCGGACTTCTTGCCAAGTAGACAGTGCCAAAAGCTGAAATAAACTATATCGACTTACGCTATGCAATTGATGTAGCTCAAGAGCGTAGCTTATTTCAGCTTTAGCCCTGCTGTGTAGACATGCCCACAGAGACTGCATGAGATCAGACCCTCTGGCCTCAAATTTCAGATTCAGCAGTCAATCCTACAGTGATTTAACCCATTTATTATTACTAAGAAGAAATTACTGGAAAAATATATGTTGAACTTGCATATTACAAAAGTACAAAGGTGATCGGAAAAGGGGGGAAGGTAAGTTTCAGGGGCTAGAGGATAAAGGAGTCCACAAAATACCCACTGATATTTCATGGACATTGTTTTAAAAGTGAATCCTTTCTTGGCTTGGAAGCCCATTTGCCTACTGGAAAGAATAACCCCCATCAGAGGATGGTACCATACACCTTCCAGAAATTCAGGTTCAATATTTTTTATGAAAGCAAATGTGAGAAGGGACATGTGTGGAAGAGAGGAAATTGGATGCATGGATTTTAGGGAACCTCTAATTTCAAAATGCTCACCCCCTGTTTAACCACAAAAAGCTGCATTAAGTAACAATTCTGCAATGCATAACCAATTAACTCTACTTACTCACCACAAGGACACCATTGGTGAGAACCTCAGTAGGGGGATCTGGGCTGTGAAGGGACAAGGTAAACATGAATGAGTGTTGTTTTTAATTTGCCATCGGTCCCTCATTTTGATGCCTGTTACCACCCTTTCCAAACTGGGTGCCTAGATCCTAGAGGCACCCTCTTGAGCTCACATTCTGTATTCAGAGGTTCAGAATGGCAGCCCAATGAATGTGTCCTTCACAGGGCAATGAAAACATTTTTACTGTTCAAAGAGCAACTGCTTCCTGGCTTTGTGCAGTTGTCAAACACATACACACTCTCTCATTCTTATCTCAGTCTCCAGAAAGGAGCCTGGTCTTAAAAGGAAGGAGACTAGACATAAAACAAGTATTCTGGATAAGCAGGTGAACTGTTCATTGTATTAAGAAGCAAGTATTTGGCTAATTGTGTTGTTGATATAACTTCTTGATAAGGGGAGACACTCTGCAGAGTGCAGGGTTAGCTCACGGAGCCAGCACGAGCCAAGACTGAGCTAACCCTGGCTCACACCGGCTCCAGGACCACCATGGCTCTGCCTTTTAAATATCCCAGACTGCTGTGCCTCTGCCTCTTCGTTGTCCCTTGCCCCACAATGAAGAGATGGTGGAGGGGGGGGACCATCTTTTATGCTGGTACCCTCCTCCCCCCCCAGCACTGGCTCCTATTGCCACCCTCCCTTGCTGGAGGTGGGGAAATGCAAGTAGTCAACTCGACTACTCTTTAACATCTCTACATTGTATTCAAGGGATTATTGCAGTAACCTTCCACTGAAAGCTAAGTCTTCCCAACATGGCAGATGAATGCCAATACTACGATTTTCCTTATGTTACCATGGCAACAAGATTCCAGCAAAAGTGATATTCCAGAGCACTGGTCCAGTGCCCTAAGGCTGAGGCAGCCATAACTTTGAAAGTTTCGGAGGAGTAGTGGAGATACTCTGTAACAGGAAAACTTAAACAGCAAATAGTCTGGTAGCACTTTAAAGACTAACAAAACATGTAGATGGTATCATGAGCTTTCGTGGGCACACCCAACTACTTCAGATGACACTCTGGTCTACATGTTGTGTTAGTCTTTCAAGTGCTACTAGACTATTTGTTGTTTTTGAAGTTTTTCATAACCTTGAAGACATTTACATCTAAGCACAAAAGTAAAATGCAAACAATTTTAAGAGGTGGAAGATAATCACTCTATTCTAAAAAAAAAAAAATGTACTAACAATGCATGTTTATACTGAGCAATGTAGTTAGATAGACTCACCATTTTTCTAAGTAGAACTCTACATCCAATTCCTCCTGAGTCTTTAAAAAAAAAATCAGACAGAATGAGATTATCTCTGATTATTACAAAGAATACAAGGCAAATCTAGGTTCAGCCAGCAACTTTGCCAAGAAGACTGTTTTCACATGAGGATGTACAGTCTAAAGATGTGTTGCTTTTTTTTTTTTTAAGTGAATTTATATTCACAAGTGTAACCAAGAAAAAAAAAATGAGTGTGTTCTGCAGAAGAAAGTGGCGTGCTTTCGAGCTACATAACCCACCAATGGAAGTTGGTTGAATACAAAATATTACCTCTCACATCTTCTCTCTGCTATCCTGGTATAACAAAACTTCAAAAATGCCATGAAAAAAATGGCATATGACTCAACTAATCCACACCCTTTGAGCAGAGGCATGTCTTCTTACTTCTCCAGCAAGCCATTTTTGTTTTACCTTATAACCTTTTCCGCTAACATAGCTATGAAAGCGTGGAACGGACTGATGCCTGCTCTGTACTGGATCTGGAAAGGATGAGAAGCTGTTAGACACCCAATTAGAGAGATTTAGGTCAAGTTGTAGGAGACTATGCTTTTTTAGCTTTGGAGGTTCCCAGTTTAATCCTCTGTGCATCAGTCAAGATGACAGTTATTACAAAGGCATGCATTATTCTATGGTGGATCAACAGAATTACTGGGCAAGATTAAATGCACAAATTTTTACTCTCTCAACACATTGTTCAGACCAAACCTCAGAGCCAAAGACTGAGGTTCAGATGCTCCAAAATTCTTAATTCTTACTTTTGCAAACAAACCGCATTTTTATAACCGTGTAACATGTGACCAGCTTTGTGTATTACAAGTGATGATGTAAGAGCAGAAAATTCATTGTGATTTTTAGATTATAAATGCAATTTGCAGTGATGGCAATTAGACAAGATAGCTTTTGTTTCGTAAATCTGGAAATAGTTCAAAGAAAATATAGAGCTTCTCTGTCATTAGAGTTACTTTTCCAACCATAACCAAAAAAATTGGCATTCAAAAAGCCATATTAATGCAATGTTGTTACCGAGATTTCTTTAAAAAAAAAACAAAAAACAAAAAAAACCCTCCATTTCTCTTCATTAGAGACAGGAGGGTAGGTATCTGAAAATAACTTCCTACAGCAATGTTGGATTGAAATTGAGATGCTGTGCTATTTCTATAACCAAAGAAGTAAAGTGCACTTTAATATTATTCGAACAGATTACTTAGAAGCTGGAAAGATTGAGTTCTGAAGCAAATTTGCCCATCACCTCTATCCCCAAAGCACATAACTAGTCCCATTGAAGTAAATTCATGCAGCTAAAGCTCTATAACTGCTTAAGTGTTTCCAACTCCAAAGGTTTAATTTTCAATATACTGATCTTTGACCACAGCAGGTCTATAGGCTACAGCAATTACACCCTCCCTACCAATAGCGGCATTTAAAAATCCATTTGTAATTTAACCCACAATATGCCAACATTTTTATGGCTGACCTAGAACAGCGTTTCCTCAGTTCCCATCCCCTAGCACTCTTTCTCTATTTGCACTACAGTGATGACATCATCACATGCACCCACAGGAAAGAGACCCTGGAAGAATTCCACAGGGATTTCAACAATTTCAACTTCAGCCTGGACCAGACCACACAAAATATCCACTTCCTTTATACTACAGTATAAATAAATGATGGTCACATGAACACCATCCTATACTGGAAACCTACTGACTTATTACCTACATGGCTCTAGTTTCCATCCAGAACACATCACACAATCAGTTATCTATAGCCAAGCCCCTAAGATACAACCGGATTTGCTAGTTATCTACAGCCAAGCCCCTAAGATACAACCGGATTTGCTCCAATCCCACAAAGACAAACACCTACAAGATCTTTATCAAGCATTCTTAAAACTTGGGGAAATGAGGAAATAGATTGACAGAGCCAGACAAGTACTCAGAAGTCACCTACTTCAAGACAGATCCAACAAGGAAAACAACATAACACCAGTAGTCGTCACCTACAGTCCCCAGCTTAAACTCCTCCAGCGCATCATTGACAATCTGCAAACTATCCTGGAAAATGAACCCTGTCACAGACCTTAGGAGACAGGCCAATCCTCACTTACAGACAACCCCCGCAACCTGAAGCAAATACCAGCAGCTACATACAACAGCTATGATCCATTCCCTCAGGAATCTACCCCTGCAGCAAACCCCACTGCTAACTGTGTCCACACATTTATACAAGCAATGCTGTCACAGGACCTAACCACATAAGCCACAACATCAGGGGCTCATACAACTGTACATCCTCTAATGTGTTATGTGCCGTCAAATGCCAGCAATGTCCCTCTGTCATGTATGTTGGCCAAATTGGACCATCTTCATAACAAAGAATAAATGGACACAAATCAAACATCAGAAATGGTAACACACAAACCTGTAGGGGAACATTTTAACCTACTTGGACACTCAATCATGGGTTTAAAAGTAACTATTCTTCTACAAAGGAATTTTACAACTCAATTACAGAGAGAGACTGCTGAACTGGAATTCATTTATAAATCTGACACTGTCAATTTGGGCTTGCATAAAGATATTTACTGGTTAATGCATTATAAAGCCAATTTCCCCTGCCTTTGACACTCACATTTCCACATCAAAAGCTATGACAGACATCCAGCCCACTTAATTCTTCCACTCTACTTTGTGCTGATTAGGTCTCAACTAGACTGCCACATTTCAGGAAAGGGATGGACATGAACCCTGGGGCAGGGAGGCAAGTCTCCAGCCCTATTCCTTCTGCTTGAAGCCCTGCCCTGCCCCTCAGGGCCCTGTGGGAGCCAAGTACCCCCACACATTGTAGGGGCAGGCCACCTCACCCACAGTGGGCTGTGCGTGGCCCCAGCCTTTCCTGGCTCTGGTGGGAGTCTGGGGAGGGGAGGGGTAGCACATGATCTCAGCCTTCCCCAGGGAAAGCACAGATGAGGTGAGTGAGGGCAGGTGGCATGTGGCTCCAGCCTTACCCAGCCAAGTTACAGGAGTGGGGAGTGTGGGCAGCCCCAGCTTTCCCCAGCCCCCAAGAGTGCATTGCTCCCTGGAGAGCATGTAGTGGGCAGCCCACCTGGCCTTGGAGTATGGGCAGCACCCAACTGAAATGGAGGCAAGGGCTGGTGATGGAGTGTGACCAGGGCAAGGCAGGGCAGGTATTGCCTTCCCCAGCTTCTTCTACCCACCGCCCGTGAATGTGGACAAATTAGAAAAACTCCAGAGAAGAGCAACAAAAATTATTAAAGGTCTAGAATATGTGACCTATGAGGGAAGACTGAAAGAACTGGGCTTGTTTGGTCTGGAAAAAAGAAGACTGAGGGGACATAACAGTTTTCAAATGCCTAAAATGTGGCTAAAAAGAGGAAGAAGAAAAATTATTCTTGTTAACTTCTTAGGAAAAGAAGCAATGAGCTTAAACTGCAGCAAGGAAGGTTTAGGTTGGACCTTAGGAAAACGTCTTAATTCAGGGTGGTTAAGCCCTGGAATAAATTGTCTTGGGAGGCTGTGGAATCTCCATCACTGGAGATTTTTAAGAGTAAGCTAGATAAACATCTGTCAGGCATGATCTAGATGGTGCCCATGAGGGCAGGGGGCTGGACTTGATGACCTCTCAATTTTGCTTCCAGTTCCATGATTCTATGAAAACAGCAGACCTGCTCAAACACGCAACTGTCTTACTCTCTACAGCTGCTGGACCACAAATGATGTAAAACCTAAAGAATGAAGTGGTAACATGTAAGATACTTGCCAGAAAGAAAAAGCGTGCAAAAGAGAAGTGGGCCCTTTGTTAAACATGCACAGGAATGCAGCGAATATCAGTGTTCCAAATAATGTCAGTTATCACCAAAATGGCTGCTAAGAGAAACCCTGGAGCCCAAAGGTGGGCAAACTCAGACGTGGGGCTGGATCCAGCCTTCCTAGCTGATTAGCAGAGGTAAATATTTACAGCCAGGCAGACACAGCCTGCATTCAGCTGCTCCTCCCCCGACTTTGCTCCATCCTGCAGTCGAGCTGCATCCAGGATTCTCCTGCTAGCTATGCTGGGGGCGGGTAGAGGGGCAAGGGGAGTTCTGAAGCCAGAATGTTCCCCTGCCCCTGTTCCCCATATCTGCAGAGCAGGGGTCATACACAGAGACACACAGTTAGCAGAGCTGCTCCAATCTGAAGTATGTCATTCAGGAGTGCATAACAGAGCTGTGGACCAGACAACAGAGCAAGACAGATTTCCCTTAAAGAGACAGTCTGTGGCTTCTCTCAGAAACTTAACCAGCAGCAGCTAGCACACACATTCTGTGTGTTACTGTCACATCCACAGACTATCACACTGTCTGTGCCACACACACACAATCTGTGTCACAAAGTGTCTCTTTCACACACACATTCTTTCCCTCTGTAGCCCCAGCCCAACTCCTTCCACCCAAGGCCCTGCCCTTTCTTTGGGGGAGGGGGGTATCAGAGCTGGCCTGCAACCACATACCAAAATTTATGAAGTGGCCTCCCCATTAAAATTTTTGCCCATATCTGCTGTAACTCTATGGGCATTATCAAAAGCACTCTACAATTTCTGAAAAGCAGGGAGGTTTCTCTCAGTGTGAACCTCTGTGTGGCTGTATTTAATGGATATGAAAAGATACTTGACCACAGAGTGAATGGTACCAACCTTTGGGTTTAAGTTGAAAGTGTGCTTTATTGTCTGGCCTGGTTTTATACCTCCCACATCAAAGATAATAGAAGTAAGTTCATCATTTATGAAAACATCTTCATCAAAGAGGGTGAATGCCAGAATGTTCTAAAACAAAACAGAACAAAACCGTATTCAAGGGATGAGTTGGAAGGTGAAAATATATAGTCTCTCTCTCTCTCTCTCTTTCTCCCCACCTCCCCGTGTGAGCATGGCTGATAAACAAAGGACCATGTAAATGACTTAGTACTGCTATTTGTTTCACTCTCTATTGTTTATGAGACACCCTTTTAGAGGCCTGAAAAATTAAGAGTCCTTCTGCAACAATTTCGTCTTTCTACATTTACAGAATCTGCCCTATTCCTAAGAGTTTATGACACAATGAAGGGTGTGGACTTGTTAGCCTGCACATTAGATGACTTTTCTGGAGGAAATTTCCTAATGTTTTCCAATTAAAAGGAACACACCAAACCTAACTTATTTGGAATTTCCTCATAATTCAGCGTTGGCTTGCCTGAGGAAAGGACAGGAGTTTCTTCCCTTTTCAGGAGAATCAGAAGTGACCAATAACTTTTTAACCCCTGAGCAGAGACAAGCCTCATTGAGATTAACTGAAAGGCTCACTATTGAACAATCAGGAGACAAAAAATACATTTGCCTATAAATGGCCTGTGCAGTAGCTAAACTACAGAAACACTCCACCTTAGTCCAGTGGTAGCAGCCAGAATTCAAGTATCTTCATGATTTAGGGGAAATATAAAGTTCTCTTCTATTTTATTGCTTTTGCTTTGGTAATCTAATCCCTACCTGTCTGTAATTTTCTGACAACTTGTTGAAGACATTTATCAACCCAACTCGTGCCCCAACAGCCCCAAACAACCATGACAGAGGCCTAGTTCAACTGGGGATCAGTATCTATCAACAAAATTTTGCAGAGAGGTCTGTATGTTTTTGGGGGGGGGGTGGTTAAGAGATGCTACCATCTTTTGAAAAATGATATCCTTATTTATCTATCACTACTGTCAAGGCAGAGCACTGACACTGATGAAAACTTTTCAGATTCGGTCATTCATGTTGTACTACTGTCCAGCTTTGTCAATATGTGACAAATTTACTCTATCTCCTCTCATGACTTAAATCTATATTTCTGTAATATTGGAATTATTGCAGCCAGTAAAACAAACTCACAGTCAACTTGCATATCACATCCTTATTTGAATTTAGTTAATCCCAGCATTCTTGCCCACCCAGTGATATTACCCTAAGGACTAGGATCCTAAAGTAAATACAGCCATGAGAAGATAATAGACACCATGTGGGAGAATGAATAGCCTAAGAGAATTTATTTACATTATAAAGTAATTTCCTAAAACTTTACGGGGCCAATATCAGATTATTTGATTATTGTCTATGATGGTGACCAATATCATCTCATGGTTTTCATATACTCCCAGATCTGTCTGTATCCATCTATTGTCTCTTGCTTTATGCTCCGATTGTTAGCTCTTTGGGGCAGGAACTCTGTGTTCTGAGATTGTACAATGCCTACCACAATGGGGTCCTGCTCCTCACTGTGGCTCCTAAACACTACTGTAGTACAATCACCATAATGCTCTTCCCCCTAAATGCACCAGATGGTACTCGAGAAAAAAAATCCCTCTCTCTCCTCAGCTGTGATTTTCAACAGTGAGCACCACTGTGCATCAGCTTTTTTGGCTATGCGGGGACGTAGGGAACATGTTTGGGTGTTGCTAGCAAAGGGCTCCTAAGTGAGACATCTGACATGAAACCAATTACTTTAATAAATATCCTTTGATAGTTTTTAAATTCAAGATCCCACCACTCCTGAAGCACCTGATAATCTGTCTGCTCCATATCAAAAGCCCCGCCCCCTCACCTTGGTAGCTCTGTGAATTCGGAATTGAAAGGTTTCATTCCACTCTGGATTAGTGGAGTTGTCAACAACCCGAGTTCGATAAGTGATTGGAGATGCAGTTGGTAGTTGTAACTGCACATAGCAGTCTGCCTCTGAAACTGGAAAGAAAAGAACTGAAGAATGGTATCAGACCAATTCTAATCAGATATGTTTTATTACTTTCTGTATTCTGTCATGTCACAGGATTATGCAGAATTAAGCAGAAACAAGCACCTGGACTGTCTGGAAGAGTACCCTCATTAAGAGAGAAATATTTTCAACATCAGCAAATGTAATTGCTTGTCAGAGCCATAGTTCATTTTTCAGGTTTGTCCCAGTGCTAAACCCCTTCTTCAAAGGGATATTGCTGCAAAAAGGACTACTGCTCCAAAGATAATTTCTCCTTCTGAAATTATGTCACTGCTATTTGGATAATAGAGGAATTTTTAAAGTTATATTACTTTATATCACGATCAGAACACTGTGGGATCCATGTCCTAGAAGCCTAACAATCTAACCAGGAGCCTCACATTATGGACACTAGAATTAGTCTAAGTATTAAGGTAAGGTGCAGCTCATACTGGGTAACATGCCTCTGTTTTCTGTTCTAACACAGATCATTACGAGTGCACCTACGTAACAGGAAATTCTGATAATCAATCCAAACATGTGGTCTTGTCCAGAATTCACAATCAGGAGTTCATAGATTTGTGTATCCTGGCAACCACACACACGTGTAAGATCTGGAAAGCTCATGTGACTGAACACCAATCAGTCAAAAATCTAGATTTAGATATATCCTCATAATTGTCTTAAATGTCTTAACACACATGAAGCCATAAGGACCAATATATATTTTTGCAGGTATCCCTGAAAATAGAATTCAGTGTAGAAAGAAACCTGTTCAGGCAATACATTTTCTTAGAAGTGACATATACTCCAGCATGGAGTAAAATTCAGCTAGGTATTCTAGCTAAGTCATTTCTTGTACTACCAGACCATTTGTTGCTTTTTAAACCCCACCGCTTGCCCAGGAAACATGACTTTCATCTGAAATGCTTTTTGTTCATGTCCTTTTTTCAATGTAATAGCTTCACTTTCAGGATTGTGCAGCTATCCAAGGGACAGTGTCAAACAAAGATGCTTCAATGAAATACAAACCGTATTAAAGTGAAGATCTGGGGCATTAATTCCTTTGCCACCACCGTGCCTCACCAACTCTACACAACTGCCATTTGCCTTCCTCCTGTGGTTTACCCTCCTCAGCACGGCATTCTTAGATGCTTCATGTTCCCATGGAGACTGGTTAGAGATATGATAACTGCCCTTTCCCTGTTCCCAAAAGATCTGGTCCTCCACCCAGAATATCCTCCAGGCAGCTCTTCCCCTTTCTCCTAGCCTAGGAAGTCAAATAATTTTGCATGGCTAGTCAATCCCCTTCAACAATCAATAAAAAATTGTCTATATGGCATTATTCTAGGATTCAGCACTTCAGTGTTCTTGTAGCTTTAGCTGTCTAGATACTCAGTATTTAAGTTACTTCAGTATTGGATGTTACAGAGAAATAAAAACAGACTTCCTCAATCTCAAAATCCATACTCATTAAGAAATCTCAATAAACCCAAAATAGCCAATGGAATTTTAAAAGTCATGGAGCTGTAAAAGCAAATATTAAAAAGAGAAGGAAAAAAATCACTCAAAATATTTCAAACAAAAATTAATCAAAGGCACAGAATAGCTTTTACTTACAGCATCATTCATGCACACTGTCTCTGAAGACTTTACAAAGTTCAAGAATAAGCATAACAGCAGAAAGAGAAAGAAAATGGGGCCTGTAGTCCAGGAGAAGACAAATGTGTAGATGATAAATCTAAGATGGAAATTTGATGTGGACAAATGCAGAAAGGCAAAAGCTGCATGGTAGAAGGCGCTCACAGCCACAGTGGTGAGACACAATGAAACACCACAGTGAGGACCACAGCTGGAGGTATGCAGGGAGCAGACATAGACTTAGTATCAAGGGATGGTTCATCTTGTTCTTTTATAAGCCACAAGGCTAATTTGAAACCCGGCTCATTTTGGTCCTTGAAAATATAGAAATACATTTTAGCTGGAAAAAGTTGATGTCAATATATACTGAAAATGACAGAAACAGATTCCCAGGTCAGAAGCAACCATTGTCATCATTCAGCCTGACCTATGGCCTGTGTGATGCAGAAGGTTTCCCCAAGCAATTGCTAGAGCATATATTTTAGAAACACATACAAGCTGTGGCATTACAGTGTTACGTCAGCCAGAGGAAATGCCGGCTATGTTACAGTTGTGAATGGTGTAAAATATGAGCGTACCCAACACTTTTCAAGTACTTACGCAGATCTGTGCCCTTGACATTTCTGGCTCTCAGGACTTTAACTGCAAGGTTATAGTAAGAATGCTTCTCGAGCTGTAAAGGCAAACAGGTTGTGTGTTAAACTCAGCCTTAATATAACTCCCAAAAACATGCTAATACCATGATGAAGGAATGAAGTGGAACAACCCCACTAAAGGTAAATCGCATTTCTGAAATATAAGAACCGTTTAAAATGGAAAAAGAGAAGTTATAAGGTGGATCTCTGAATAAGCTGGGTGAAGGACCAAGGCAGTGCACTGCAGTGAAGGGAGGCTGAGAATTAAATGAATTCTCGACTCACCACAGGTAAAAGTGATCTTTGGGGCAAACTGACTGTCATACCAAGAACTCTTTAGGGCTCAGAGATGTAACAGCTAGCTCAATTCATTCTAGCTCAATTCACCCAGATAGCTCAATTCACTCTATTACAGCTGAGCTATTGATTAGATATTAAATTATTTTAAAACCTTCCTCCCAGCTTTGTGTGTCCCATTCATTTGTACAGAACACATGCTGCCAAAAGTACATACATGTTCTGACAGCAGCAAAGGGGCCACAAATATTAACAGAGTGATCTGAATATCTAAAAACCATCCAATGCTTACAGTAGAAAGCATCAAAAGCCCACTTAGGCTATTCCTTGCTTTCTGGTAGAACCACTGTAGCCAGACAGGAACCCCCCCGTAACATCCATTTTTTGCTTGCCTGAAGCATACAGGGCACAAAGAGCAGTAAAAGCCTTGAACAGAAGGTCCAGATATGCAGGCTCAGTGACCCTGAATGGCTGTAAACAGAGATACGCCAATTGCTGACCAAGAGGCTGCCAAGGAGTGCCCCTGACTGAAACCCATATTGATACGAACACACAGCTGTCCGCGAGGGGAGGAATCTCCTGCCCAGTAAAAAAAAAAAAAAAAATGTCCAAGAATCACAATTTAGTTCTCGCTCTTGCAAGTGTAAATTAAGTTGAAACTTTCTTGTAAGAACTGGCACCACAAAGACAGACCAGTACAATTTGGCATCTTAGATAAGAAAGAGGATACGGGCCCTGCTGGCCGGGTTAGGTGTTTGACCTCCCGAGGTTCCACGGGGGCGCTCACCTCATATTCGTCTTTCCTAGGAATTGAGGGACCGGCCCTGGCTTGACCCGCTGGAGTCGAGAGGCACAGAAGGGGGTAAAAATTGTACCTGGATGTGGTCCTTTGTCTTAAGTGTACACATAGACTTAGAGCTCTTTAAAGATTAAGCTGTCAGTTGGTACCATTATTTATCTTTATTTTCTTTGTAACCATTTTTAAGATCTTTATTTGCTAGCAGTTAAGAAATAGAGCAATAGCCATTGTAACCATATGATTTATAAGCCTTTTTAATAAAACTGTAACTGTTTAAACTTTAACCTGACTCCTTCAGTTGCTGTAACAGAACCAAACACAATTTAAAAGAACTTCAGCCGGTCATAAGGGACAGGTATAGGGAGAGCTTGGGCGTTTTGGATCGTATCACTTCAAGAGGACAGATCCATTGGGGCATCTCTCAGTCTTCCCTAGACTGCCCGCTGCGAAGGGATCCTGTATCCTAGCAGCTGAAATCTGAGATGTAATAGCATCTGTTAGCTTGTTGGCTGCCCTCCGCGACAGGACCCCGGTCCTAGCGGTAAAGACACGGACGTTAAACTTCTCGGGGCCTTGTGTCCCAGTAGTTAAGGACTCGGGTATAACACACACACACAGCCCTGACCATCGGCTGACAACCACCTACTTTCAGTAGTTTGAGCCAGAGAGAAGGTTAGCCCATAAATTCATATTCATCTTAGATGGATACTTATAGTAGTGTCATAGGAGTGTGTGTATGCTGGGGATAGGGGTGACTCTGGTGTCAGAAATGTGCTTTTTGTTGTTGTATTGTAAATACTTCCCAGATTTTGCCAATTTCTAAGTCTTTGAAAAAACAAAAAAAATCACATATGTTCATTAAAGACTAATTTGAGTATGCCAGCTAAGTTTTCTGAAGATTCCATTTGCACTAGGCATGCTCCAACCCAGGGGGAGGGGTGAGTAGGGCTTCTCACAACTGCAGCAGGCCACTCTGCTGCTGGGCTACATGATCAAGAGACTGTCACTCCTGTTCTCTCAATGTTCCTCCTACTCAGGCAGCAGCTAGGAGGTTACAACTTGGAATGCAGAGGGAACAAAAGCCAGAGTGGGGGGGGGGGTCCATTTGCACTAGGCATGCTCCAACCCAGGGGGAGGGGTGAGTAGGGCTTCTCACAACTGCAGCAGGCCACTCTGCTGCTGGGCTACATGATCAAGAGACTGTCACTCCTGTTCTCTCAATGTTCCTCCTACTCAGGCAGCAGCTAGGAGGTTACAACTTGGAATGCAGAGGGAACAAAAGCCAGAGTGGGGGGGGGGGAGATTGTTGGACAAGAAAACTGAGAGCTGGACCAGATACACAAATGGGAGCCATTAGGGGCATGGGAGTCTGAGATCACATGAAGATCACATACTATTCCCCCCCCCCAAGAGGATCCCTACTTCATCCAAAGCACAGGATGAGCTTGCTTTGGGGATGAACTGGACTTGTGTAGCAAAGGAGGCTGTTGCCATGGGACCACTACCTCTTTTGTTGCAAAAGCTGGAAGGTGTGAGATGAACGAGGCAGAAAACCTGTGGGAAGGGAAAGGAGTCTATCCCTGCCTCTGCCACTGAGTCTTCAGGTGATGCTGGGGCAAGTTACTTAAACTGAGTATTTCCCAGGTGGTCACTAATTGTGTGCGCCTCATTTGCTGGGTTCCTGACTTCAGAGCCTGCCATGTGATTTACGGAAGTGCTGAGCACCCAACTGAAGTCCATTGGAATTGTGCTATGAACTTGCCAAGCACTACCCAATTGCAAGTTCAAAAATCAATGCCCTGTATGTCCCAGACTTGGCATCCAAAATGAGTTGACCCTTTTGACATTACTCTCTCTATGCCCCTTGGCATGTCTGCACTGCAGAAAGAGACTTGTGGTAGCAAGTTTCAAAGCCTGGACCAACTGACTTGGGCTTGTGTTAAGAGGCAAAAAATAGCAGAGCAGATGTTTGGCTCGGGCTGGAGCCCAATCTCTAAAACCTAGCAAAGGGCTGGGATCTCAAAACCTGGGCTCCAGCCCGAGCTTAAATGTCTACACTGCTACATGCATGTTCCAGGGAGCAGGGGTCTCTCCACGTGCTACCCCCCACCCCACCCCAAGCATCCCTACAGCCAATGGGAAGCTGCAGCAGTGGTACCTGTGGAGACTCACTTGCCCCCTTACCTGGGTGCCCCATGTGAGAACCACACACCCCTTATCCTCTCCTTGCCCTCCCTGTGCACTCCATTCCCTCCCAGAGCCTGCACCCCTTCCTCACCCCAGCTTCTTCCAGCCCCCAAACTCCCTCCAGAATCTGTACCCAGCACCCTAACTCCATCCCAGAGCCCAGAACCTTAGGCAGGAGAGAAGGGAAGCAGTTTGGGTGGGGTGAGGTGTGGGCTCTGGGCACAACCAAAATTTTTGCACACCAGCCACCTCTGCTTGAGACACACAAGGTTCCATAATATGGACATCCAAGAGTTCTCACAGAACCAGCACAAACCTCATGCCTTCACTAAGAAGGGTGCCACAGTGACAGTGTACACCATGTGGTGCAATCCCAATGATAAGCATATGCAGGATCTGAAGGAATGCTTCCATTACAGCTAGCTGGAATGGGCGAGAGACCCTGGGTGCATCGATGTAAACAGTTTGCTCCTGCTTGGCTAAATGTTGGATATTCAGCAGATGGGGTGGTATTTTGCTCACTGTAATTAACTTAATTTGTGACCCAACACCAGCTATGTTTGTATCAAATGCAGGGTTAGCTAAAATATGGTTACCAATGTTTTTAATGTTGTGGGAATACAGCAAAGTAGGACTGTGCTAAATTGTTTCAAACAAAATGGTTCCCAGCAAGCTAGGGTGATCATATTTCCCTATGCGGAATGTGGGACACCAAGGAGGTGGGTCTGCCAGCGCTTGGGGCTTTAGCCCCACAAGGAGGCGGGGGGGAACAAGCCACTGGCTCTCAGGGCTTCAGCCCTGCAGGGGGCGGGGAAGCATTGGGGGCTGCAGCAGAGCTGGGTTTGGAGTGCAGGGATGAAGTTCACCCTTGCAGTGTGCGGAGAGGGGAGGCGAGAGGAGCACCTAGTGCTCGGGGTGTCAGCAGCTGAAGCCCTGAGTGCTGGCAGCTCCTCCCCTGCCTCCAGGAGAAATACAGGGCAATGTGCCCGTTTTTTTTTTTAAAAAGTCAGGAGGGTGGGAGGCCGCCTTAAATAAGGGACTGTCCTGGTAAAAACGGGATGGATGGTCACCCTACAGTACACAGATAGAATCCTGCAAATGCACGGACTCTGCTTTCAGAGCTCTGCAAAAGGGTAGGGGTGAAGAAAGGTTAATCTGGTTAGCAGGCTATATTGCTTCCCCTGCTCGGATGGGTTTGATCTGTTTCCCCTCCACTGTTCAAAAAACAGAGCTGAATATGCACCATTAGGTGCCTCTTTTCTTACGTTAATAGTGTTGGAGTTGTGTTTCTTCTACCATGCCTGCTAAGAGCTGAAATCATTTGCAGTTGATGGGCAGAAGTTACAGCCAAGAAGTGGATGGCAGCGGATGGTGACTAAGAGCCAGCAGGGTGGTGGCAGAGACATGTGATGAGCGGCCAGCAGGGCAGTGGCCGAGAGCAGTGAGCAGGCAGAGGATGAGTGACCAGCAGAGTGAGTAAGATGCTTCTTTACCTCCCGCACTCAGGATGGGAGATGAACTCTGCGTCTGCTTTGATCAACAGCAGGGACTGTGCGTGGGGTGCAGAGAAGGGCTGAGCATGTGAAGGGGACATTTAGATTGCTGGTTTTAAAAACCTGAGGAGAAAAGGACACTGCCCAACCTACCTGATGGAACTTTTATTCATGGTTCTTGTTTATGAACTCTATTTGTGGTGTTTTCCCAAATGAATGCCACATTCCTTCCCTCCCTTTTATTAAAAGTCTCTATACTACACTCACACTCCGTGATTGCGAGTGGGGAAGCATTGCCTCTCAGAAGCACCCAAGGGTGGTGTGTGTATTTTTCAGGTTACAGGATGGCTGCTCAAGCAAGTTCTGCGTTGGATGGATAGATTGGAAGCCCTAGATACTGATCTTGGCCCTGGCTGATGCTGGCTTCATCTGGCAGAAGGATTACATAAAGATCCTCTCCAAGAGCCTCTGAGAAAAGATTTTTATCAACAGCTGAATCAATATTCTACAAAGAGAGGAACTTCCACAATGTAAAATAAAAAGTAAGGAGTGTAACAAAAATCTCTGCTGGCTATGAGAATTAGGTCTGTTCCAAGTGCTGGGCCTTTAAATCAATGGGCACCTCTCTGAGTCTAATGCAGTTTTATTTCATAAGAGTCAAAGTGTTGTCAAAACACATTATAAGGTAAGTGTACCCAGTAAAACCGGAAATTAAATGTGACATCACCTTTCCCATTTTATCTGGGTTCAAATGCAGAAACAACACAAAGTACAGTAGCCTTTTGTAGGCCCTTGAACAATTTTCACCCCAAAATTATTCTTGCTAGTGCTGAACAAAAACTCAATTTTCAAATCACACACAAATCTCAGATCTGCTTCTTCAAACGTAAAGATTAAATAATCAGTTTTCTGAAGCCATTCCAGGTTCTGCAAATCTTGCATCTTTTCTTTCTCCTCTGGATAAGCACATTTTAGGAGGGAATGAGTTTCATAACAAAACACAATGGGCAGACCTATGACAGATCTTCAGGGCTGAGTGACTTGCTAAGCAACAAGCACAGAAAGTTTGCTATTTGAGTTTGGATGAGCCTGAAACCTCTAAGTGAAATTCAGTAGGTTTGAATCTAAACAAACCAAATTGATAGCATCTATGCACGTCTAATTCTCAACAGCAACATTTCACTTGTAAATAGTTAATGTGGTAAGTATTGGCTAATATTTCAAACTAGCAAGTCTCCAAAAATGGGAGCTTCACACTTCTGATGAACCTGTGAAGCACAGATGCTGTGACCATTCAGCCATCTTGCCTGACTTTAAACATAACAAACAACAAAATACTTAAAAATAAACAAAATCATGAATGTGCATTGAAGACAGCAATATAGGGCAACAGGCAGCCAGTCCACAAGGGGAGCTGGTTTTTAAACTGGCTCCCCTCACAGACCAGCTCCCACCTGGCATCTTGCGCTGCTGCCTCTGATACAGACGTAGCAATGTGGAATGGCAGGGGGTTCCTCGGGAGTGGGCCGGAGCACACTGCCTGTCAGCCTCACCCCCGGGGACTACAGAATAGTCAAGTAACCAATAAGAATTAATGAGGTTAATTGAATATTTAATTAACCAATATTTAACATCCCTAGTTTAGACACGTGCTTCGTCTGGGCTAATCTTTCCTCTGTCCGATTCAGATTGTAAACTCCCAGAAGAAAAAAATGAAAGTGCATGGAATTTCTCTGCTTCTTCATAGACAAAATAGATTATGGATAAGATTTTCAAAAGCATTTCCTGAACTTTGCTCTCACTGAAGTAAATGAGCGTTTCACCATCATTGACTACAATGGAAGCTGAATTTTTCAGATTCCACCGTACATTCTCAAACAGACCCTGACCTAAAATGCTAGGGTTAGAGACTAGGAATGAGCAGCTAAGTCCAGTCGCTGTCATCACCTCCACTATCTAAACTTATGCTTCTCTTGTGCATAACAAAGACTTTGCTCACCCAGTTCTACAAGTGCAGGGCTGCTTGTATGCACGTGTCATAACTTTTAGCTGCTTCTTTATTATGTGGGTGATGACAGCCCAAAGGAAGGGCAAAAGTTACATTACCCGCCAGTGGTAGAGCCCGGTATCCTTCCTCTCCTTCCTCTGGAATAGCACAGCAGCCAGAAGTGGGAGCATTGGGGGCGACACCCGGCTAAGCAGCACAGCACGGAACATGGGAGAGCTTCCCAATACCTGAAGAACACAAATGAGTTAAAACAGCAAGTCACTGGAATTTCACCAGCTGCCTCTCCTCTCACCTCTGACAGTTACTGCAATAGCTGGATTGAGTTTCACCCCCAAGCTCTGTTCCGAACAGGGAGAAACAAACGTGTGTGGGAGGGAAGGGAGGTGTGGCTTGGAGTTGCCAAACAATCAAGCTTACAACTTCCCTGGTAAGTTTTTCAAACATTAGCAGTAAAACCTCAGGGCAATGCCAGCAAATGAAGTAGCTCAAGAGAAAAGAGGGCCTGACAAGAAGCACTATGCCGTGATTAGAGAGCAGGACTCGTCAGCTACTGATTTGTCTTCCAGATGCTGCCAGAAACTTGTTCTGTGACTTTGGGCAAGTCACAACTTCTCTGGACTTCAATTTCCAGTTCTGTTGAAATCCCTTTGTCATAGTTCATTAGTGTCTGCAAAGTGCTTTGAGATCCTCTGATGGAAGGCAACAAAGATTAACAAAACACAATCAAAGTTAAGAATCCAAAGAACTAATGGGGGTAAGAAAGATATTTGCATCTAATTTTAAAGGAGATAACGAGGGAGGAGGCATAGGAAATTATTAGTTAAAAATAACATTTGTAAAAAGCTGAGATGCTGACGTTTGGGATTTAAAACTAAACCAATTTACTGCAAATAAAAGTCAGGAGAGAGGTTTGAACAATTTGAAAGGGATTGAGATCCTGGGACAAATCCTTCTCACTTTGCTCATGTAAGTCTCATTGACTTTATCAGATTACCTTGGTGAGCAAGGCAAGCACAATTTGATCCCATTTTCTGGGTACAATCCAACACCCATTGACTTCAATAAACACTGGATTATTAGACCCCGTACAAATTATTTAAAATAGGTACTAGAATACTTTGGAAAAAATATAAATAATCGATACTTTCAGTTTTTATCCAGAGCTTTAAGGATATTTGTTTATGAATTTATTTAACTATGGGCAATGAATTTTGAAAAGGTAGAGACAACTGGGGAAGCCTTGTACAACTGAGAAAAGCAAATGTAATGCCAAGCTTCCACCTATCTGCCTATTTGCCCTGAATCTAACGTAATTCCTTTGTAAAAAATAGGACAAATTGAAGACATATCTGGAAGTGCCTAAAAGAAAACAGAAGCCTGAGCAATTGGCTTTCAAAGGAACAAATGCAGCCAAATCGTGATTTATTTTAATCACATACACATTTAGCATATGAAAGGATTTGCAGTCGTTGTAATAGACAAGTAGGATTGCACCAAGTTATCACTGGAGGGATTGTATGTCAAGAAATGCTGGCATGCCTGGAATGTTGGAACCCTTGGATGGGCGGAAACAGGTAAGATATTTAGTGGAGGAGATGTAGTTGAGTGAGAGAAACTGGTGTGAAAAATATTTTGCTAGAGAGATGCTCAGCAGGGCTCGACAGCCTTGCCCCTGTTCTGTGCGCCTTAGAGAAAAGAGGTGGGGGTGGGGCAGAGGCAGCCAGCCCTCAATACCACTCAGACCACAGCATACTCCTCCCTGCCAGCCCTCACAGCTGCCCGGCACATGCCACCATGCAGTACAGGGGCAGCAATTTAAAAGGCCTGGGACTCCAGCTGCTGCCACAATAGCGGCAGCAGAGGCTGGGCGCTCTGGGCCCTTTTGAATCATAGGGCCCCAGGGCAATTGCCCTCTTTGTCCCCACCCATCATTGGCAGGCCCAAACACCCTCCTCCCCCCAAAAAAACATTAAAGGGCTCCGGCCAGTGGCAGACAGAGTTAGTGGGGCCCTGTGCACAGGTTCATTTTTGAGGGATCTTCCCACAGGGCCCAGTCAAGAAAAAGAACTCTCTCATCTCCCATCACCCCCATTTTTCATCCCCCCCCCCCTTCATCCTCCTATAAGTAATAGGAAGAAAGGAAAATAAAGTGAGGTACCTTGATTGGGGCAGGAGATTGGGGTTTGGGGTGGAGCTCTGGGAGGAAGTTCGGGTGTGGGGTGCAGGCTCTGGGCTGGGGTAGGAGGGCAATGCTTACCTCAGACAGTAAGGCTCCCAAAATAACTGGCACACCCCTCTGGCAGCAGCTTGCAGGTGGGGGATATCGGGGGTCTCCGCTGCTGCTGCCCGCAGACACTGCCCCCACAGCTCCCATTGGCTGCAGTTTTGAGCATGCAGGCAGCCTGCCAGCCCTTGCCCTGTGCGCTTTTGAATGTTCATGTCCTTTTCTTTGGGAGCACCATGTCATTAGGGGCCCTGTGCCACCGCACAGTGTATTTAATAGTAAATCCACACCTGGCTCTGCCCAATATTTTACTATGCAACAGCCACGAGTAACTCCAAGAATTGTGATTCCTAGGAAAACCCCAGTCCTGCACAATCACCGTGAATAGAGATTACACATGATCAGACCTAATACGGAAAACAAATAAATAAAGAATGTAAGAAGAGTAATTATGGGGTAGTTGGTGGGGTGGGTGGGTGTGTGTGTGTCCCCAAATTTCTTGATCAAGGTATAATAAAAGTCCATGCACCAGAGCAAATAAGTATAAGAAGTCAATACAAAGTTTTTATGGTCCATTCAAAACCATTTGACAGTCCTGATTTGTCCACCCTTTGGCTATCTCTGCCCTACAGAATGCTATACCCGATACTCACTTTCAACAATACATACACCTCCTGCAACAGCCAGCAAAGCCGTTGTATCTGTCAGTGGGGTTTGAAATTTATGCAACTTCCCTAGATACTGGAATTTCCTACTTTGTTACAACTTATAACATTTTGACTCTTAGAAATGTCATTGCTACACAGGGAAGGACTTGAACTACAATTAATTCACAAGTTTGATATTCGGGCTAGTGGTTTAAATAAAGATACTGGATAGCTGGGACATTATCAACCTACCAAACAATGAAGGTGCCAATGGTTCTTTGCCTGTATAGTATCTAGTGTTAGTACTCTTCCTCTCTAATTGCCTACTAATGGTTCTTATCTGCCTCTTGACTATCCAGTCTTTAGATCAGGGGTGGCCAACCCATTCTGAGCAAAGAGTCAAGATAACAGTGGATACAAC